GGAACGTATCACCGAGTGGTTTGTGTCATCCCGTCATTACCACAGTATTGCACTACATGAGGCGATGTGCTAATACAATTATCAGTACTTTGAGCAGTTGCGCATTACCAGCCGAACTGCACTGCATGAGATGTACTCGAGTTGGTTCATATTGGGCAAGGCTAGAATGCTTCAACAAAACAAAATAAAGATAATCAGCGATTGTCTGACTGGGATCCATTTGTTTCCATGTGAAAGTTTGTTTTAGTTAGTTGAGGACCTTAGTGACTTGTGATAATCTCTGCAGCTCAAATATGAACTCATTGAACAACAATGGCTGTTATCTGTGGAAGTTCAACAGTCCTCGCGTCTGCATGTGTTACGTAAACTGCTTCCTGTTCATCCCCGGGGGTTGTGCGAATAAAATCTATGGTGAGAAAATTCGCTTCAAACATTCTTTCCAGATAATTGCAGATTAACCACGACCGAGCTGTTCATTTTCATGGAACAGCCGACATGCAATTGCATTGGTTCTGTAAACTGAAATATTTAGCTTATCACAGCCCATGCACAATTAAAGCAGTTAGACTTTCATCCGATAAGCCACACCAATAAAGAGACCACGGTACGATTCACAATCGTCACACTGGGCATTCCCGAACGGATGAAGAAACAATTACTGGCGAAACTTTTTGGAAATACATCACATAATCCTTCAATCAACGTCGACCGAGCGGCGCAGATTTGCAAACAGGCGTTCTCAATCAAAGCGGTGAAACTCGTAGACCAAACCCGTCAGACTCTTGATAATTTTGACACTGGAGATCATCCGCCCAGAACCGATCAGTTAACCACTTCTCAAAGGCCTCGTCATGAACAATCAATGTTCAATCTACAGACTTTGCTGCATAAAGATGGCAGCACACCCCTGCACAAGTTGATCCCTGTGGGGTCCCATGTTAAACGCCATGAGAAAGACAGAATAACGCAACGGATGCATTCATTCACCAACCAGTCCAGTGATGCAGTTGTAAACAAGTCAGCCAATGACCAAAGCACTAATCGGTCGTTTGTCGGTGAGCCATCACGAGCACGGTTTAGATCATCGTTCAAATGCACACAGTATTCTCGCTAAACATCATTGAGATAGTGACACCGATTCTACGGAGCTCAGTGTACTGTTAGCCCGTCAGAGGACTTTGCGTTCACGTACCTACCGGTTCATGTGCCTCATCTGGGAAGCTTTATAACCCGGAATATTGACTTTTTGTTTTTCCTTTGACGAAAAAAGAACTGCGCCACCCGAAGGCAGTGTGCAGTATTCTATGTGCTAAGAATCTGTGAGGCGTTTGGTTGTATTTAGTCGCATTTTACGAAGTGTAAGTGTACGGTGACTAATCACAACTGGAGATCCCCATCACTGACTGTACCGAATGCGTTGAACGTGTTTCATAGTCAGGTGGCTAACGTAAATTGGACGTATTCTGCAATCGTGATGTTATTTCCGGCTATATTTCCAAATAATTCCAATCTCTGTTTTCCCATTACGAGGCTACCTTCACGGAGGATAGTTTCACCTGCTCCATTCTTTGCATCGTTGTTGACTGACGTCAGTTGCTTTGCGGTATTGTGGTTCCTAACAGTTTTGCTATTCGTGATTGCAGCTACCTTCACCAAACAGGATTTCACACGACTCGGTCATTTCCCTCACATATTTTCCGTATTTCGTCGTCATTACGAACGAATACGTCTGACAGAAGAAATCGGATATATGCTATACGCATCCATTAACGACCGGAAACAGATTTCCTCCCAGACTCAACAGGCACATCGCAGTTCGGGTTGCCTCGTGTACCTTACTGAGAATTCATCAACAAAGATTCAAATTTGTTTAACCATACTACTACATCCCCTGGCCCCATTATAAGCCTATATTGTGTGGGAAGAAAATAATGTTAAAAAGGGAATTTCGCTGATTACATAATGTCATAGGTTGTCATAAAATGTATAATACAAAATCCAGTTGATAGTTTATGAATACCAAGTGTAAATCATACGCAACTCAGTCACTTTGAAGTTAAAATGTATTCGATTTTGGATGATGAACAGTTGATCAATTACTTTGAAAATGGTGATCGTCAGCGGCGATAGCACAGCACTTCGCAATGAGTCGTACCAATCTCCATACCATTGAGTGGGAAAAGACAAACTCCAGAAGGAGGAACAATCTTTCCAATACACCATTCATTTTGCATTACTCTTCGGGCGATGTAAAGTGGAACCCGTTTACGAAGCCTTCCAGCGCATATGGCCAGAGGAGGAACGTCACCGCTGATGTGTGGTACCCATTCGTGGTCCAATGACTGGGACGAACCAAGATCCGAATGTCCATATCTAATTGATGCAAAACTGTGAGTAGTTATTGATGCCAAATCATTTTTAATATCATAATTTGAATTGATGAAGGGAAACAAATTAATTCAATGAAGAAATTGATTGATCTGTCACACTTGCAGTTAACTGGGAGAAATGTCAAAAGCAGTAATGGTTAGGCGAGCAGTTATGTGTACCGCGTCGGACACCTTATTCAGTTTCACCCAGTTGCCATAACTGTTTGTCAATTTAAATTCAGCGTTTATCGACCGCAGCCATGATCAAGCGCACACAGCCGTGAGTGCCACACTTTCATGAGACGGTCGCTTTTGAGGAATAAATCTACTGAGCAAAAGCACGTTGCACGGACGGATGGCACTGCAAGGACTATTTAAGTATGGTCGAGTCCAGTGTTTTGTCTATCGGACACTGTGCTCATTCAAATGCCGAATCCCTCCGCCCATTAGGAAGAATTCTGTTGCCTACATCAGACCTGTCCCTCTCGATTGCTCATGCTTAGCTAGGTGTTTTGTTTTGTGGCCCTTAAAGGGGTCGTGGAAGCATTCTCTACCCGGTAACGGACATCACCGTATCTTTTTCGTGCTTGTGTACTTGGTCACCGCCTTGGTACCCTCGGATACGGCATGCTTGACCAACTCACCAGGCAACAGAAGACAAACTGCAGCTTGGATCTCTCTGCTCGTGATGGTCGAGCGCTTGTTGTAGTGAGCAAGACGGCTTGACTCTGAGACAATACGCTCAAAGATGTCATTGACGAACGAGTTCATGATGGGCATGGCTTTCAAAATGATACCGGGGTCGTGATGAACCTGACGCAGCACTTTGTAGATGGCGTAGCTCTCCTTCTTCTTGCGCTTATTCTTCGTGTCAAACTTCGGTTTTTTGGCCTTCGAGGCCTTCTTCGCTGCTTTGCCTGAAACAACCTTGAGGGTCCTTGCGTAGCAGTAGAGTAACATGAATTCGCACTGATGATATTGCTAAGCTTGACTAAGAAACGTCAGCGCACAACACTTCCATCTGGGAGAACTCATTAACACTAAAATGAACTGGGTGTATCGGAATCCTGATATAACCGTCATTTACCTTAATCAAATAAACCGAGGTTGTAAATGGAGCAATCCAGACCACCAAACCCATCACTTAAACTTCATATCACCATAAAACACATTTATTTATTAATTATAGATACACATTTTTTTAGTTCGAGTTGAGTTAATGTGTTGGCAAAATCATGAAATACAAACAGGTTCGCTTGTACTCTCCCCATCCCTTGAGGATACCAACGATTGCGAATAGAAAGCATTTGAAAAATACAACATTGTATTTATTGCAACTCACGTGGGCGTATTCCCGCTCATCGATGTGTCACACAGCACTTCAAATTCGGTAACCTTGACTTCTTTGTTACCATAGGGGATGGACGCGTACGGCGTGTTACCAGACCATTTGCCCGGGACAGTATCTAATCCTTGTCTCGCGCGTATTATATACAATCCCGGATTGGCTTCGATTGCGTTCGGTGGAACAGTCCAGTTCGCGTCGACCGGGACCCATGAGAGAGTGGCTTCGTGGGTAGCCAGTTTGCAAGCCGTTCTAGAAGAGAAAAGAGAATGCGGAATACCAAAGATAAGAAAGAATACCACCGGTTTTTTCAGGTTTATTTCGTTCTTGAGCTTCTCGAAATCCTCATCCCGATCCCAGCGTTGCTGGCAGTCTTAATCCACCTTCATGAAATTATTGAAACTACATTTTCCCTTTGTTTACAATGCAACCAGTAATGTCATTCCCATTGTGACTGTCTAATCATGCTGTGGTCGCCCCAAAGTACATGAGTTGATACCAAATGCCAATATTCACACAGAAGCACATTTTCTTCACCAATCTTTGTCTGTTATTGAAAGAAAGCTAATGTTTAGTAATACACACATATATATATATATATTCATCATTTGACAGCGTCCTGTCAAATCAGGACCGCAACGCCGGTTCACACTATGACCCCACATACCTACTAGGCTATAATACAACCCGCTTTCTACTTACTTCTCCTTGTTCGTTACTGACTGAGCATCACTAGAGACAAAATAGAACACATTGAGAATTGGAAATTCTGATCAACCTAAGGTGTGAGCTAGTTGGTACTGCAGTAACTCACAACTGCCATGCGATGGGTCCGGAGCTCAAAACTCGGACGGAAAGGTAGACATGCACTACTGATCAGCTATAATAAGAGCGAAACTCTACTCTAGTGCTGTGTGGTAGATTGGATGAACTGAGGACTGTGCATACAGATGAAAACTAAAGGCTAAACAGTCCACAGGAACATGGCTTTTCCTACACTACTACTTATAAGTGAGTGTGGTTTGCATGCGAAAATATGTACTGGATACATGATTGATGACATTATACGACAGATTAATTGAACAAAACCTAACAAAACCATATTCCTTGTCATGAGATTTAAATATAACACATGTAAATGAATATATATTACGAGCAATCAATCTACTATACGCATGGGTTTCACATTATGGATTTTGGTGGTATGATCAACTTACTTTGCACCTTTTTCAGTGTTCCGAATCTTCGAATTTTGTGAACGCCTGTTCTTTGTTAGCAGAGAACAGTTTTTCCGGCGAAAACCACCTCGGTCATTCTTCATCCTGTACACAAATGATCTGGAGACCTTCAGGAACTTGGCTATCTCCGAAACACCGTGGTTCGCACTCAAAGCGACCAGAGCGGCATCCCGCTTCATTTCGCGTGTTAGACTTACAGACTTCATTTTATATCTGCAATTATCCAAACAGGAGTCATGGTTACCGAGTTTGTCGAGTAAATGTTCATTCTAGTCCCAATACAGGGCAGTTAAAAAGTTGTCACACATATTGTCGCCTACATTTATGTGCAGTGCCCATTCGACTCATGACACAGCAATTACACAGTCGGCGCTCACTCACTTACGCATGGAGCAGTACATGCTTTGTCGAAACACGTTCAGAGAAATACCCTCATTGTATCATCACGCACTGAATAGACGAGAATTGTCGATTGTGTGTGCAAGTAGTGCTATTAGCTCAGTTGATATGTCATGCGGTCTGCAGTGATTGGTTTATTTAGTGGATTGCGATTTGATTGGTTCAACGCAAGTGGATCGACTGTGCTTTTCTCAAGCCCATCATGTTAAACTGGAGCAAATGAACCATTCATCCGCCATGGAAGCGCGTTATTATTACACAATGCGTCTGGAGAGTATGCTCTATAGAACTCTGTAACGCCCCAAGCGTCGAGCATATGTCAATTGACGGTATCCAATTTTGCGGAATTCAAACACACGGTTAAACAGGGATTAGTTTTGACGCTTGCGGTTGACTCACGTTATAGGTGAAGGATGGATGCCTCCCAAATTCACGGAAACGCACTGGATGAAATCGAACATATCTGGTTTGTGGTTCTCGGGAGCGTCCTTCCTCAAGACTGATATCAACATGTATAAGTCAGCGGATGGAGGAGCCCGATTTTTGACGAATTCAAGCAAACACACGTCTTACACAGAGCAGGCATACATTCCATTTGACCTCTTTTATTGTACTTGATGAAAGACTTGCATTTTCTCGATACTCGACTAGGGTGAACGTATTGCTGCAAGCTGGTTGCGTAGACTAAATGTGATTCATCCCAGCACTAAGGTTTAGAATTATGAACCTTTTTCGGAGACTGGACCCAATCCATTTCTGATTTAAAACGTGAGAATTCACAGGAGAATGATGTCAGTATTCTGTTTGGTGGAACGGTTGTGATGCAATAGCCAGTTTCATCACAGATGAACATTGTTTGGATCATAATCTTCGTGCAATTCAAATATGGTGTCCAGCCAGTATTACAGCAACCATCCTCGACGAATTTCGGGGGCACCGATTTCCATCGGAGGCAAATCCCCATTATGTCACTATCACCTTAGTCCCAGATACCCATGGAGTACACGGAAGTGACTACAATTTGTCATTAAATAACAACAAACTTGCAAAGATAGGTTGTGCTATGTCGTATAAATGGAAAATGAAAAACGGCCTGATCAGCTGCCCGGTGGCGTAGTGGGTAGTATGCTTGCGTTCTGCCCATGAAGCCCCGGGTTCAATCCTCAGTTGGGTCGACGGATTCGTACTGCTGATGAGACCCAACCAGGTTGAAACAGCTGTCCAGTGCTTCCCAGCTTTGCAGTTCACGCTTTATTTGCTATACACACGACGAATTCCTATTTGAAATAAATTCGCCTTTGATTGGTTTCGTGGCAATACTCCCGTCAATGGCAAACGCATTCGACGTGCAACCACGTCGCGTGTGCATGAGGAGAGTGGCAAATCTTTCGAAAGAGTTTCCGTGGGGCACAAAGCGGACGCATTTGCTACCGTGGTCGGCAATGTGATCAAATGGGTTAGCTTTTCCCGAAGTGATCACTTTCTTTGAATGCACTCCCACTTCTCGCTCTCTCTCATACACACATACACACACAAATTCACGTTTTCTCCCTGTTTCATCGGATTGCGCTGTGTCACCTCAACTCTCCGTTCATTTGAAAAGTTGCACTCAACGCATCCCGAAGCACACATTCTCGTCAGGCCTTTGAGTTATCAAGCCACTCTACGTGCTCGCCTATTTGGAATGATAGCTGCTCTTAAGGATGCGGCAAATATTGCTTTTAGTTCTACTGACATTTTATCCAGGTAAGGCTTTTTCAACTTCTCGAATTACCAACAAACCGCCTTCCTCTCATCCATTTAAAAACGTCTGTGGTTGAGATATATGCCTGCCATAACATGATAGTCTATCGTTGTATACAATCAAACAGTTCCCAGTCTCATCAATATACGTTATTATCACTCAAAACAAGCATTTGCTAACTATTCGGGGGGTAACTAAACGTTACACTCATTCCAGGTGAAAGTAATGGTATTTCTGTATCCCAGATTGCTGAATCTGTTGGTCCCTTGCACAAACCGTTATCGTCTCACATAAGTTCCTGTTTCTGAACCTCGTCAAAACCAAGACTATTGGTTTCCTTGTCTTTATCACTTGCAGCGTTCTCAATTGTTCATCAATTGCAGTGAACCACATATTTGATTGAACTGTTATCCCCAGGTTTCTCACACGGGGACGAGTCGTATCGCCTCATTATATCAGGTAAATATTGATAGTAAATCGTATAACCCTCAAAATGGATCATCTGAAATATTGGTTTATATGAACTAATAATTTGAACTTTCTCTTCGGACTACTATCTCCCTTGAGAAAACTCTCTGATCTTTCCCGTTTCTATCTTGGAAAATATAGCCACGTTTATCGGTCATTTGAGATTAATACGAACTCTGGAGTTATCATAATACAGACTTATTTCCGAACCACCACTGTTCTTATGATATCTCAAGTCCTTATTTTGCTCAGCAGAAAATGAGGGCCATGAGGAATTCCGTTCACTTTTGCTAGACATCGCGAAGTATTTCTGTTACATAACGGACAGTGGGTAAAAATGTCTCCATCCAGTATTGGTGTCACCGATTTTGTGCTGTAACCTGGTGTTTCCTCTTCGGTCTGTCACATGAATTCTCGTTTCTTACTTCTCATGCTGTTGTACAATGTACAGATTCATCTCACAGTCACCACGATGCTTCTACTCATCAACCATTATCATTTTCAAATTCATTTTCGCTTTTTGGTGATTGATGTTTATGTTGTATAATCCCCGGGCATCGTGATCTTATATCTTGTGCGATAATTACTACCCTTGAATATCACACAACGCATTCATATGGTCACACCTCCTCTCTAGCTTCAATCCGTCCTTGATAACATCAGGCTGTTAAACTATAATGTGCAAGAATTTACCAGGCTACACTCCGTTATTTTCGGTGCACATCAAACAACAGGAATTATCAAATTGAAAGAATTTATTTGATTTTGAGAATGTTTCAAGAATACTCAACGTCCAACACTTCAGGTGTTTACCAGTTCAATAAACTTGGACAAAGATCAGTTGTGACTCGAGATGCGTAGAACTGCAACAGCAGTTGGATTTACGAAGATTCCGTTTCCGAAGATGACAATGTTGAAGGCAATACTAATTCTCGGAAGCATACTACCTCATATTGTTCTGTATCGTGTTCAATCCCGTTCAACGGAACGGGAAATAACCAACTCCGTGAGGCGGATAAAGCTTACCAGCACAACATTCGTTTTGGATTAGAGCACGAGCAATATACATTGGTTCATTTGTGAACAGTCGTCCGCCACGTACTGCCCGGGAAAGAACACGACCGTCGGAATCCGGGACTCATTCGCACCTGATTACCTGGGAACGATAACGATCAGAAATGCCATTTTTAGTGAATTTAGGGAAAAACTGTTGGATGCTCATGAAGAGAATAAGCACAGTGATACATTCCCCGAAAGATTCCAGAATATGTTGAATGATCTAATAACTAAATCAAGTTGTCCGTGGCTATTTCCGGTAATCTGCAAAACATCGGGGCATTTTGGTAATGCTGACATGTGGGTCGATTGTTCGTGCTAGAATGCACCCACATCTACAGCGTTGACATCGATTCAGACCAACCAGTCTGAAGCAGTAAGTGCTTTTGGAGTTCACTACATCATTGGGGTCAGCGACGTGAAATCTACGCGATCCGTCGTTGGTGGAAGTATTTCGTTCATGCAGTAGGCACAACAGTTGAAATGAATTTGTTGGACTGGAATGTTGGTTGAAACGGTCCTACGAAAAAGTCCAAGGGAGCCACATTCTCAGTTCAACTTGCCTCTCGCATACGGAATGTTGCACACACACACAAACACACACAGACACACACGGAGTGAAAGCTGCAAACGAATGCATCTGCTTTGACTCGTATGACCGGATGGGATGATACAAGCCTCAAATAAGTGACTAGTGCTATATAATTGGCACTGAGCATCATTTAGTCGCATTCTGTGACTCTGCTCTGTCAAGTCTTTTCTGACCAGCACAACCGGTGAAATCAACGAGGTCAGTTGAACTGTTATCTCTATCACATATTATGCCTTTGTAATTATCTGAATCTATCGCTAGCCAAGCAGAGTACACCGGTGCCACTTGCCCACCTGTCTCAAACAACGGTCCGCGTAATAATAATATGAGCATGGCTGACATTCGTCCTGCATTGGGTTTGATACACATTTTTTTAAATTTGTAGGTAACCTTAGGGAGAAATCGTTTAATCATGCTAAACGAACCACATCACACTCATATTCCACGGTGACTGTAAGATGCTTTATTGTGTGATTGAAATTACGTACACCGGACCTACGTGTAATCTGCTCAAAGCCCATCAATTCATGTGCTGTCCTAACCAACTTCAAGTTTGATGAGATGAATGATGACATTCCTCCTTCGAGTTCCAAAAGAGAGTGTTTTCTTGACACGTTTACCCTTATCGTATCGAGCCGGTTGTTTTGGTTAGATCGGGTTGCCCCTGTCCGGTATTTGTCCAGGCATGTTTCTGTGCAAAACGTGACGTATACAAAGTAGTCTTGCGTGTCTGTGTCTGTATGCCTGAACGAGGATATGCATATAATGGATTTCTCAGAAATGACGCTAACAATTAGTTGTGTCAGCAGAGTTATCACAACCACGGACACTTAATTCATGTGTCAGTCAAATGCTAACCTCCGGATGTGCAATAATGCGTCTACAGGGAGAGCGCCCTCAGCCCTCAACCCGCATGGACAGTGTCGTGCAAAACAATTCACAATCCATGCACTAGGATGTTCCTCGTTCTGGTCAAACACTTGGGTGATGGCCCACCCCGTTTCTCATTCGTAACGAATAAATCTGTGCGGAATTAGAGCAAATAGTTACTCGTCAATCATTTGCAAATCACTAATAGATAAAGAATAATTCGAATATTCTATCTGGGTTAAACAACGATAATTGTGCATGAATATATTAATCAACTTAAAAGATTTGGTTAGATTCGGAGTTGAATTTTTCATCTTATAAACGTTCTGACCACGATCTTATAATATGATCACGACTGACATCCTTTCAGAATTGCATTTGATAGACATTTTGTGATTTGAAGATCACTTTAATAAAAGATGTAAGGCCATTTGTGAGCATTTAGTATCATTTCCTTAATCACCCACGTAAAATATGTAAACATTTCTAGATTGTGTGTTCTCAGGCACTCCACTTGCGGGATCGATTGGGACAACTGTGAAGGTGATTGGCAAACCGGTTCTACCCTACACCTTGTGTACAGCTTCACCGGCAACAGCAGCCGTGATCTATACATAAGTAGGGAAGATAGCGCTGATCTCAACCGATGGTCAANCCGAAAAGACGGTTGAGGTGGACGATTCAATCCGATTCCGGACTCCCGAACACACCAGTGTCGCACAACACCTCGAATTGAGTCACACGGATTTCGACACAACCGTATGGTATAAATGCGTACGGTG